CACAGAACGAAACCGAAGAGATTTCGGGAAACGAATAAATTTTTAGGTGTCCCAGAATTTATGAAAACAGCTGTAATTTTGCTTCGAGTCTGATTAAAGACCCGGATTCGAACAGGGGGTCTATTCCAGTTCAGTTCCGGGCCTTCGGTTCGGTTCTGCGGAACACTAAAAAATACCAGTGTTAGCATTACACGTCAATCGTCAACGATTTCGTCAGTCGTCAACGTTTTCGTCAGACGTCGCATATGACGAAATGTTCGTCACCATGAAAATAGTTTCATTCATTACTTGTCAATCACATCAAGAATGATGCTTGAGAACGTCCTTACTGATCTTCTTTTAGATTGTTATCTCCCTTTGACAGATTACAAAGATTAGTATAAAATGAACATTTATAACAAAGATTAATACCCAAGTCATAACATTCAAGAACATCCAACCAAAGAACTCCCATCTCAAGAACATTCAACCCAAGAACACTCAATTCATTCATTTTAAAGAGAAAATTTTTTCAAAATTTTATTAATATAAATTTTAAAGTGACGGTCATAAAAATAATTTTTTTTTGGTTTTCGTAACATAAAATTTTAAAACAGACCCGTCAACACTTTTTTTTCAAATTTTATATATAAAAATTGTATAAAACTTTTTAAGAAACCACCCGGTTATTATAACTTATAAAAAAAAGTTTTAAAAGTTTGCAAATTTTGACTCGGCCGGATTATATAAACAAGAAATTTTTTTTGTATGGCCTAATAATCGAAATATTTGGTTCAAGCGAACAAACCTCGCCTGAATTCCTACCATTACTGAAAACGAATTGCAGCACTAAATCTTGCTCTTGTAGAAAAAAATAATTCGTATGCTAAAGACTCTGTAGATGTATTTTACGTGGACAATGTAAAAATTTTAGTTTCATGATTAAAATAATCCATAAATTTTTGCATAAATTCGAATATTCGATATGTTCTGTTTAAATGTACGTAAATTAGCGTTTAATATTAATTATCATACGACTATGTTGTTACTGTCATACCAAATTCTACATATATAAAAAACATTTAAAGAAAAACAAAACTTAATATGTTCAAAGACATAGGATAGTAACAACTGCCGGATGATAACTTATAAATATAATAAAATATTTCTAACCGAATTATATTAATACTATTACCTATTTTCTTTTAATATCGATATACAAGTTTCATACCAAATTGAAAAAATGACATGAATCAATTATAATTGACAGAAAGAATTTAAAAATAACACATAACATATACGCTGAATTAACATGAAAATAATAGTAAATTGGTGATTTTTACACTACTCACATAGTTAATGTAAATTAAATAAATAAAAGTAAATAATCAAATATCTTAATATTTAAATAAAGTTAATAATGTTATACGATAGTAATATTTACAACTTAATAAATTAGAATCTAATGCGACATTTAATATGAATAAAATGGATATTCAATACGGAAAGAGTAATAGAGTCTAAGCGAAATGTAAACAAGACCAGATCGAAAAATTCAAGGTCCCTGCGCTTGTTCTGCGGCAGCATAGTGGATTTAGCGTTAGTAGAGATCATCTAAATTCCTGTTTCTTGTTTTTAATAAAATAAAGGCCGTAGACTGTTTCAAAAGATCATCATACCGATTAGTGACTGGACTCGTCAACTCGTGACTCCAATTCAAGTTTATTTTGGTTCGAATCATTATTCAAAACTCGTGTATCGCAAAATAAGTCTGGGTTTAAAATTGTATTTGTATATTAGTAAACTTTTTAGTTATATAGTTTAATAAATCTAATAATATATTAATTTAGCTTATATATACACATTAATATAAGTAGAATTTATAGATCGCTTATTTTGAAACAAATACGTCTCTTATTTCTTTCGAAACAGGTGTCTGATTTTTAATTTTGAAACCCTATTGTTTTTTTTCGTACAATATTTTGCAATTTGGCTTTACAAAAATTTTTAATAAATTTTTAATTTATTTGACTCGAATAACTCGAATTTCTATTCTAAAAAATAACTCGATCATATGATTAGAGTTTGATTCGAGAGTTTAATTCGCGATTCCTGAGTTTTCAGAGTCTAATCTCTAATACCGATACCATTTTCCACACATTCAAAAAAAAAAGTAAAAAAAAAATTTTTTTTTGAGTAATGATTTTTAAAACAAGCCAAACATTCTACACAATAAGGTAAAAGAACGCACACATTTTCTTTTCATATATTATCAGCTTAATTATTTAATATAAAGAAACTTTAACTCAGGTTACATCCGATACTTATTATTGTCGTAATGGAAGAAGAAACGACAGGTTCACGTTTTCGTGAGCCAATTTTCTTGAACTTTAAACGGCAGTTATGAGTGCACAAATTCGAATGATGACTTGTTAGATAATGATAGCAAGTTTCATTAGTAGTTATGAGTGCACAAATTCGAATGATGACTTGTTAGATAATGATAGCAAGTTTCATTAGTGGGAGTCTGGGGTTTTAAATATTCGAAACAGAGAGCACTATGAATAATTGTGAAGTAGAAATAAATCCTTGTCTGGGATGAATTAAAATTCGAAAAAGCGCGTATGATGGCTAGTGCGTCTGAAGATGAGGAACTTATCTGGGAAGATGTAGAGACTGATGGTGATGAAATTAACTCGATATCGGTATTGTAGTCAGGGTTAACGGAATTAATAGCACATATTGAATCTGGTCAAAACTTAACATCATACGTTCTTAAATATATAGTAGATGGTTTAAATCAACTAATTGGAACATGAGAAATAGATGGAAATGTTTGTATTTGATCAGAAACTTCATAAACCACACGCCAAAAGAAGCGAAATATCGAAATAAGCTGGATTTACCATCGTCGCTGCCTATTTTGTAATAAGTACAAACATTTTTTTAGTCGTGGAAAAACATGTGTCAATGCGTATAATAATGTACAAGTACCCTGCACTAGTTTAACTTGTTCAGTTTCCCTACTAATGAATTGTCGAATAGTAACTCTGCTGGTGAATATCGGCCACGTTACGTACAGTACGTTCTGAGTGTTTTAACTCAGAAGGAGGTCATCTTTTTTGAGAAGAAACACTTTGTTTTGTGTGAAAGCAGACATAATATTGATGCTACGGAATCTCTGAAATTTATAGGAAATTGGATTTTAGCTATTTCTGAATCAGAAGAGGATAGCTATAAAAAAATCTTTTAACACATTTAAACAAAATGCTATTGGCATTTGAAGAAACAGCACCATTTTCTACGAAGTCTCCAAGACTTTTATATTTCAAAAATTGCTTTAAGGTTAAAGCGTATAAATATCTCAAAAATTAAAGATTTTGGCATTACTATCATCGAAATTGGTGACACTAGGAATTGAAATATGGAAATCACTATAAGGTACAAAAAAAAAGTTTGAAGAGCCAAATTCTTTAGAAGTGGATTCTCTAAAGGATTAATTGTTACCTTACTAAAAAAAAGAAACATGAGATCGTGATGCAAAAAAGAAAAGAATGTTGATAGAAAAAAACTTCGATATGATAAGATAATTAAAATACAGTATCAATATTTTTTATTTCTATTATAGTATATTAAATATTGCATTTCCTGGAATAAATATTTGGCTAACACATATGATGAGTTCATTATATAGTACGTAAGCAAAGCCACTATCTTCTTTATACAGTATTTTTATGTATACGTAGCAAATGTTGTACATATCACATATGCAACGTTATGAACAAAAGCTAGAAAAAAATTGGATCAAAGAAATAAATACTGGGAGAAGACTATTAAGAGGTCATTATATATGAATATTGCCGTATTGGATAACATTGAAAAAACATTAACATATGAAAACATTTATGATATATCTCGCAATACTCTTCGACTGGTATTCTACTTTATTTTGCCTATTAAAGTAAAATCTTTTAATCCGATATCTGAGAAAAATAAATATGTTAATAAGAATCTTTTTGGTACTTCAGATTTTACAGATTGCATGCTTATTGACTTGAGAAAAATTTTGGAAACTCTTTAGATGGTTGAGATGAAAATGACTTTTTTTATGAAATTGTTAGAAATGCAGAAATAGGATGTAAAAGTTCAACTACCAAATATCGTAATTCTTTAGCCTGAAGATAGTAATGACAATATTCACAATGCATGTGATATGAATTTAAGGATGTAGTTACAGATGATAGCGATAATAAACATTTATGTATAGTTGCTGATGAAGCGATATTTCATGGAAAAATATAAAGAAAAGAAATAAAAAAATGATATTGTTTTTGAAGCAATAGCATACCTCGAAAGATATATATAGTACACTAACTGTATTTTCTGGCTATGGAATATTCAATTTTGGCAGCCAAACTTAGATTAAGTATTTAGATAAATTAGAAAAGGTTGTAGACCGCCAAGCCACTTGTCGAGTTCTGAAATTAATGTGCAGTAGGTATCGTGATTAATAAATACTTAATTTGCAATGTGTGATATTGAACATAGTAATAGCAATGTATTAAAGTATAGTACTATTGTTTTGGATAGGCTAGTTATTGGATTAGAAGAAGAAACTTTGACATGCAATTCAAAAATATTTTTGCTTTTTTACCATTATTTTCTGTTGTAGGAAAAATTAATTATACTAAGTTAGTAACACATTTATCATATGTCGAAATTTATCTATCATTTAAAGAATACTTAATCATGTTTGTTCAGTTAATTTAATACGTCCAGGTCATTATTTTGAGTTTGATGAGACTCTTAAATGATTTGGTATTAACTTTATTAAGCAAAATATTATAAAAAACCCCCCATGAATTGTGAAGATATAAAACAACAGATTTCATAGTACAAGCTAAATGAGCTTGCTTATAATCGTTAATTTCAGAGTATGTAGAAGATATGATCATAGTTCAAAAATACAGAGTTAAATAAAGAAAAACTATGCAAATTAGCCTCTGAATTACAAATCGCTTTTTCTTTAAATAATCCTAAAACTCATGCATTATTTAGAAATACAAAAGAAATGAATGAAATAGGTTGTTTTTATGTTATAACCAGGTTATTTATGACTTAATTCTATTTTACCAGGATGTTTATAAAGCTGAACTAAAGATTATATCATATTATTTTGTGCTAGAACATAATCCAGAAATTCATCTTACAAAACATAAAACTAATGAAAACGAGAAGAAGATTCTCAAACAAATATTGGATAGTAATGACTTCCATAAAGATAAAGCTTTTGAAATTTTAGAATAACTTCATAATAGGATGAGCGCTACAATGAATTCGCATTTATTGGAACAATAACTGTCATAAACGAAGAGCAAATAGTGACTCAAATAACTCGAGTTTATCACTGTTCAAATCATTAATTCAAAATTCGCGAGTTAAGTTACTAATGTCAATTGTGATCTTAATTATCACATAGTTTGGGACATCCCAAACAGTTTGGACGGCAACTATACCTGGGTCATAAATAGCGATGCCAACTTAATTAATTTCAATAAATAAAATCTTTTCAGCTCAAAAATATTTTATTTATGATAATTGCTAGAATTGCAAGATACCATAATTAAATTTTTCATTATAAATTCTAAAATATGTAAAGCTAGGATAACGTAATAAAAAAATTTAATTAACTTTGTTAAAAAGTTTAACTAACTTTGTTATTGTTATAACAAATCTTTAAATTTGAACGATAATTGAATTTGAATATCTTAAACTTGTTTTTTAACATGATCGAAGGGATAAATTTAAATTTATATTCAAATGTATTTATACAAATAATATAAATTAAGCATCAAAACATAAAAAAATAAGATTATTACAATTGTATGTAGTGATAGCAATTTAAATATAAAAAATAGCGTATCAGTATATTTAAATATATTGCATTTATAATATAATAAATAGTTATTGGATGCGTAGCATCCAATAATTGGCAGGTAATCCTTTTTTACCTGCCAAAATAAAAAAGCATCTGGCAAGCCAGATGCGACTGTTATACGACTAAAGTTTACTATTAAAAAGAAAAATAATTATATATATGTAAAGTTTAATACATAATGTATACGTATGGTACTGTACATTTGCTCTTAATTATATTTTAACTTTATAATGCAAAAATTATTTATCGTTTTTTGCATAATTTTAGAAGTTTAAATTGCTAAAACGAAAATTATTTTAGC